AGGGCCGGGCCGCGGGGTCACCCTGTGCCCGGGTCTGCTTTCCTCTACAAGATCCTGAATTTATAGCGGTTACAGTGCTCTCCCTGATATGTGGTCCCGTAGCAGTATTAAACTTTTTAGGTTTCTGATACCAAATCATGCAGTGGCTAGAAGAGGTTTGGGGTTTTTTTAAACAAATTTAAGCTTAAGATGAGCTGGGTGTTCTGAGAGGATTTGACCTACTTTAGAAAACTTAAGGGTTTTTTTAAAAAGTTAGTTAGGAAACACCCCGGCTTTCACAGTTAAACAATAGTTGCAACTTTAATAGAATCATAGAATCGTAGACTGGCCTACGCTGGAAGGGACCTTAGAGATCGTCTCATCCAACCTCCCTGTCATGGGCAGGGATGCCTCTCACGGAAAAAGCATTACATTTAGGAGTTGCTTTGATGAAAATCTTCTGCGGAGAGGCTCTGAAATAAACTTCTTTACCAGTACATGCTTTCTTGCAATTTAGGGTGGTGTTTGCTTGCTAGACAAAACTGTCTTCCTGTATTCCTTAAACTGCTGAGTTCCTGTCTTAATTTTCAACTGCAGGAGGTGCTTGTCGTAAAGTCTGAAGGAAAATGTTCTGTAGTCCTTCACATCTGCCCTGTGTAAGGGTTAGATGACTACTATCTGGAAGCTTTCACATATGTAAACTTCAGCTTATGAATTACTTGTAGGTATATGCTTTACATGCAATTTCCTACCTTTTTAGTTTGAATTCTGTATGACATTTCGTTTGTTTGCTTTCTAGAAACATACTGCTTTTGCTACCTTTCCCAGTGAAAACGCAGCCACGAAGGTTTGTATTGAGTTTGTCACTGAGTGTTTTAGGAAGGCATCTTTCTGAATTGTGAGCTGTGCTTTTTAAAGCATTTTAATGTTTTACGTGTCATCTAGTACTTGGTGTGAGGAAGAAAATATGCAGAGCGATGTAAATATTAGAATTCTGTTTCAGGAAATGCTTGAAGGATTTGATAGAACAAACACTTGTGTAGAGTCATAAAAAAGGTGGGCTGAAGTGACATGTGAAAATCATCTGTTCCAACCTGCCACTTCGTGCATGGCCTTGTCTAGGGTGTGTGTGCATTTATATGTGAATCAAGCATAATTTATTTCTCTCCTGGATAGTTGCAGCTTTGCCATACAGTTCATATTTTATTTGAGTGTTCAGGCTGCAGGCTCACTACTGTGTTCAGGCAGCCTAAGTCTCTGCAGTGGTTCTAGCTGTGCAACCTTGTCTTTTCCCTTCCTGCTGGTGGGAAAGAAGTTGCTAAAAGCAGACCTGTGAACGCAGGAACGACACAGAACTACCTGTGACTGTAGTGACATGGGCTTGGCTTAAAGCACTTGGCTCTGCATCCCTTGGCTGGTTTACCAGCCAAGTTGAAAACAGTTATGCTTTGAAATAATTCTGATGTTTTTCCTCTTCCCTTTCTTTCATTTCTCCGTTAAAATTATTTGAAGGCTTTGTCAAGACTACATCAGCTGAAACTTTTAGGTCACACCTTAGTTGTTGAATTTGCAAAGGAGCAAGATAGTGTGCAGGTACTTAGCCAGCCCTCTGTCTCAGAGAAGTGTAAAAGGTACGTGCACAATAATTTAGCTTCTCTTTGAAGTCAAGGAAAGGAAATTCTGTATTCATGATACTGTTGTAGTACTGTTCAGTCAGAGGGTAAATTGTAACCATTTAGAAGCATTAACAGGCAGGTTTGGATTTATGGGTGACTGCATTCCTTCCGTTAATACTGTTTCATTCAGTATCATCATGAAATATTTCCCATCCTTATTCTATGGTTATTAATATCTTTAATCAGCAGATGGTCCTATTTGTTCTCCAAGACTCCAGTCTGCATAAGTTGACCTCTGTTGCGCAGGTTCCCGGTGTTTCAGAAAAGACTCTTCTATTTTATTTTTTTTTTTTGTTAGGATTGTAGTTTTGTTTTGGTGTTAAACAGTGTGTGTGATGCTTTCCTGATGTCTCTTTCTAAGCAAGAGTCAGGCAGAACTGACAACTACGAGCCTAACTAAGACTGTACTATTACAGCCACTGCCTTCTAAGCTGAAGCTGATTTGTATGTATCTAGTTTGAAGCATGGGCAGAGCAAGCGTAAAACTGTCCAAGTATTCAAATACTTAAAGAGTATGTAATATATAAAAGTAGTTAGATTTTCAAGGTGTCTTGGTCTGAGCTACATGAAACCAATTCTGTTCAGTAATTTTTACTTTCCACCTCTGCAATATATGACTTAGTGATAGAAGCTATCTGGTAGTGCTTCATTAAAATAAACTGTAGGGGTTTTAAGTTAATTTTTCCACTCTCTGACTATGAACAAAGCATATGGTTTAATACCTTTGATTTTATGCAGTCTTTGAACAGAAAGTAACATTAAATAATTTTAGTTATTTCCCTGTGAGTAGATTTAAGTCAGAAATATTGGAATATAGAGAGACTTAATGAAATCTGCTTAAATATTAGTTTTAGAAGACTGGCTAGCTATGTTGATTATCCACCTGTAATAATTATTAAAAATTGAAAATGACTGTAGTAGTGCCATTGATACAAGGTGTTAAAAATACTGATCAATTTTGTAACTTCTTTATGGATGAGATTAAACACGTTTCACATGCTACGTAAGGCACTTAATTTTTGCACTGTTGTAATTAATGCTAAATTTATTTTCAGTTCAGAAGAACCAGTGGAAGAAGAAGAGAAGAAAGAACCAAGCTGTGTCTATAAAATAGAGAATGGAATTGCACCTACCCATGGGTTAGTGGGTTTTTCGGGTCTTAATTATTTTTGAAATAAATGTTGTTCACTGTTTTGTTTCATAGTATGCTACTGGTCTACATGCGTAGCTGTAGCAATTGTCATAAAGCTGAAATTTTATTTCTTCGAGTTTAGAACTAGTGACTAGTACTTTGAGTCATGAAGTTGGGCACTGCGTAATAGTCTTCTAGCACTGTGCACTGCTTTCTCATGAAGATTTTGAGGACTGCATAGGTTGTCCCAGTGTTCACAGCGGAATACCGTTGACTTGTTTTTCCAGAGGTTTCTTAGTCTTTTTTCCCTCCATTTGCATTTTTGCATACATTAAGAATAAATTTCTTTTGGGGCTAATACATCCAGCAATTTGAGCATTGAGTTTATGGGGTTTGTACAGCGTGCTCTGCCTGTGCTTTTGGTTTTGGACGTGTTGGTTGTTTCCCTGTACTTTCTGCATGTGTTGCTGCTTTCCTTGTGCCCAAGCCCAGTAAATCTGTTGTGCATTAAGGCGCTGCTCCTTGTGGTGAAGACATCATGTAAGTGGCCCCAAACTGTTCTAGGAGAAATAATATTTCAGTGATACTCCAGATGTAATGAACAGTTGGACCTCTAGTAAACTTTGTTGTCAGTCATAGTGTAGCTGTGGTCCTAAGATGTCTTACTTTTTTTTTCCCTCAGCCTCACCTTTCCCATCAATTCTTGCCTCAAATATTTGTATCCACCACCTTCAAGTACAATTCTAGCAAATATAGCAAATGCCTTGGCAAGTGTGCCCAAATTTTATGTCCAGGTAAGTGAAAAACAGCAAAAGAAGAAAGCACAAAATTAAAAACATCTCATTTTCCTCCTATCATTTATGCACAGAGATAATTTTTGTCATAGTAAACACTAAGTTAATTTTCCTGTGATAGTGTTAACCAATGTTAATTTTTCACCATGTTGAGATAGTAAGATTTTATTAACCAGAAGAAACTTACTTCCTTGCCACTGAAGACTTAATTTGATTATCATCTTCCCTGAGTACTTGGAATTTCATTCTGAGAAGATGCTTTCCTTTTTTTGATTAGCCTTTTTAGGGTCTTGCCCATATTTACCATTAGTGTTGGATCTCAGGTGCAAACTTTCACATTATTCAATACCTGATATACTTGTCTTCATTAAAACTGTGCTGATTTACACCTGCCAGAAGCTTTTGGCTCAGATACCCCACAAACAAACTGTGTTCAATTATCTACTGAAAGGAAGCCTTACTTATTTTTAATCTTTTCAGGTACTTCATCTTATGAATAAAATGAATCTTCCTCCACCTTTTGGACCAATTACTGCTCGCCCTCCCGTGGTAACTTTTTTAATGTGTGTCTTAAGTACCATAGAACAGATTCACAATTTTAAATGATAGCACTATGATAGGAGAGCTAAGTTCAAGCTTCTAAAAGTTGGAGAAACCTCTGGAAGATAGTAAATACCCATTGAAATGCAGCAGTAAGACACATTTTTTAGTTAAAAAGATTTCTTTAGAAGACTATTCTTGAACAAAGAAATATACATGTATGCCAGTAGCACTTGAATATTTCAGACTGAGTATAAAAAGGAAAAGAGGGAGGATATAGCATGCTATTATAGTTACAGGAAATAAACGATAATAGGACATAAAGAATAACTCTTTGGCGTTCCGATTAGATTCACATTGTTAATGACGTTATACAACATTTTTAACTTTTACTTGCTCTGCCTCCAGGATGTTTTTTGAAAGAGGCAAGCCTGGTGGAAACCGATGGAGGCTTAGGGAGAGCTGCTTCTGACGGGAAATAGAAATACCAGCTCTGTGGTCTCAGTTCAGGTGTGGTAGAGTAGTTTGATGGGCAGTGGAAGACAGTGCTGGTGTTAATAGCAATAGCCACACTATTTGGATATAGTGAAGTTGTGCTCCACTGCGCTTTGTTTCCCTGCTCCTCGTAACAGGCAAACTCGCTGGTAAAGAAAACGATGAACTCAATCTATCAAGCAAATGAATGCGTGCTGATTTTTTGTGCCCGGTATTGGGCCAGGTTAAGCACTGAGTTTAATGGTCAGACAAAAGAACAGTAAGATGGGAAGCCAGTCCTCAAAATTCCTAGAGGCACACAGAGGAATACTGGGTTCTAAAGGGCACTGAGTATTTCTAATGGCAGGAGACACAAGTGCCCTATGGAACTGATGGTACATAAAAGTAACCGTTAAGTGTAGTAAGATTGTTGAAAGTGGGGCTGGAGATGATTTTATACATAAGGAATTACTTCTATGTGTATTTTTCAGTCTCGGTGGAAAAAACTGATTCCTTCATTGAAATCCTCAGTCTTTACAGAAATAGAAATACAACTTTGATAGATGGTAGAAGGCTCAGTGTAGAAGCTGAGATGACTTGGGAGCTTAGGTCTCCTCCCAGATATTTTGACCATATTCTTCTCAGGAAGGTCCTTAAAGCCAAGTGCAGTGGCTGCCGGTTTTTTTTTTTTTAACCCTTCATATTAAAATAATGAAAACCTTTGCTATTGCGCTTCAGAAAGTAGCAAATATTTTTCCTTGGGAAAGCTTTCATTAGTAACATAGTTTAGTGAAATAACATCTAGATCACTGTAAACCTTCTTTAAAAAAATGCTTCTTGTCATCTGCTAATTTATTGCTTTGACTTTTTATTATGTAAAGGAAAACAAGATATGGTTTTTTTTTCTTAAAAAGTTTCCCTTTTTTTAAAAAAAAAAAATTTCCTCCATAATTAGTATGAAGAGTATTTACCAGTGCCTGTGCCACCTCCCCCAATCCCACCTCTGCCTCCTGAAGAGCCTCCTTTGCCTGAAGAGGAAGAAGAGCAACTATCTAATGAAGATGAATCGGAATATGAAAGTGATAATGAAGAAGAAAAGGAAAGGTACGCATTTTGCAGTTGTTTGCGAGCTTTGGGGCTCTTTTAAAGTGGTAGGTTTAGTTTTCTAGCTTCTAGTGGCATCTGTTAATGTAACATTTTCAGTATATAGATAATCTTGCCAGATGCTTAAGGAATCTGCAGAGAGACTTAAAATCAGGAGGACAGTGCTGTTTTGAATCACACAAGTGGTATGCAAATGATTATTTGCTTACATGACCAAAAACCCAACAAAACCAATAACTCGGAGTGAAGAGAGAGCGCAGATGGAAGAAAGCAGTAATTAGTTTGGTTTCTGGATTCTTCATTTTTCACCTCTTTACAGAGTAAACTCCTCAGCCTGAATCATAAGTGCACTCTGACTTTGAAAATATTCTTTGTACATCAGCATGTGTTGCTGGGAGTAATAATGAGAATGGGAGGTTGTGTGTGCTGAGGATTCTCTTGCAGTTGTGGGACTGAATTACATCCTAGCTGGTTTGGGTTTTTTTAAGGAAGGCGGGGAAAGGTTTTCAGAGTGAGTATTTTCAAATTATAAGCTCCTTTGGTCCTTTTTAAAATTTTTGTTTCGAACAGAATGACCAAGTTGATGGAATTAGCAACTCTTCAGCCTAAAAGACCACTAAACACGAAGAGGCGTGGTGTTAGAAAAAAACAAAGAATTAAAGACTTACTGAATGTTCCTATGTGTCCTTCCCACAGGTTTGTATTATTGCTGGCATTTTTTTTTTCCATTTTTTCAGAAGATTATTCCTTTCCCTAAATTATGTTCTCTACACTCTGTTTGCTTTAGTGTTGCTGTCTTAAAACAAGCATTCTTTATGGAAACATGCTTGGATTTATGGCTCTACAGGTCCAGATTTTCATGTGACTTGAACTCAAGTCTGCTCAACAGCCATGATCTGTAAAGTGTGCATGATTCAAGCTCTGTGTTTCTCCTGCTATCATAATAAAATAAAATAGTGAAATAATAAAAGTCCCTTTTTCATAAAAAAGAATAACAATTTCGTATCACAGACATGACAGAAGCAATCTGGATTTATTGTTTGCCAAGATACCTAAAAATTTAAAATACAGAAAAGGTGATGCTGAAAGAATAAAAACTGATTTGTTTTACACTAAGTTTGGTTTTTGAAACTGCAGTACTGTGGCACAGGAGACATCAGCGCAGTATTTCTGTGTAGTGATGTTCAATTTTGAATGCATTTATACTAATAGCTTTCTTCTCCCTCCAAGTGATTTGCTATGTTTTTTGAAAATTTGCTATATTTTTATATGCCATGTAAGAGCAGCAGCAAGGCCAGTTACTTTTCATTATTTAAGTTACTGAGAGAGTTTTTCATAAGTGCCTATATGTAATTATTTTCTTTTTTTTTTTTGCTCTCACTGCCAGCCATACCTACTGTATCTGCAGTGTTCTAGTCAACTTGAGCTGTATTGGGTGAGGTTTATGAAACGTAGAATTCATGTATTTGGGATTAACAACAGCATAAAATCTCTCTGGAAGAATTTGTATCTGACCACGTGTTTATCAGTGTCTGAATCTTCAGTTAACGTTTTATTGTTTTAAACAGTAATTTGCACCCTGCACTGTCACCTTCAGATGTCTTTGAGCAGCCGCAACATGTAGGTCATAAAAAAATCGAGTTCCATATTACTAGTGACATCCCAGCCGTTCTTCAGATAAACTCGGAAAAAGAAGAAAGAAATGGTACGAGAGTTTATACTCGAAATGTATTTAATATTAAATCGATGCAGTTTCAGTGCGTAGAATGCTGCTGAAATTTAGGTTGGGGAATTCTTTTCTTCGTTTGCGTTGGAGCTTTCACTGATAGCGTACATCGGGGTTTGTGAAGAACACCGACTTGCATCTCGTCCACGTTTGCTAGTTTTCCCCTGTTAAAGCACAGAACTCTGCCTTGGTACACTAAAGGATTTTGAAGGCATCTTTCTCTCCTAGTGTGATCCATGGGGTTTATGGTGAATTGCACTCTTCTAAAATGTTTTAAGGTGTTCTTAGCAAATCTGTTAGAAACGCCTGATCGGTATTATACAGTGCAATCGAGTATATCTTGGGCTAATTTCAGATTTTCCTTTCCCAGCTCTTAGAGAGCAGCAGGCGAGTGATTGCCAACTCCTTCTCTGTGATGTGCTGATTTTCTGCTGTAGAAATGCTGATTGAAAATAGCAGTGCAGGGTGATGGTTTCTTAGAGGGTTATGGTCAGTCTGTGTTTCTTGATACTTGACGTAATATGCAGTTTCTTTGAATGAAAATTAGATAAACATGGTTGAAAAGCAAGACTGGTTTTGCCTTAACTGGCATGTGCTGGTTCAGCTGATTTATAGCCCCATGTAGAGCCAGGTGGGTTTGTCAACCACACGTTTCTTTGAAAGTAATTTGAGCACATCCTTAAAGTCTACTATATTAAAATATTACTCAAAGGAGTATACTTATTTTTGCTGCTGTTCATACTCTTGAGAATAAACATACAAACCACCTTATGTGTTGTAATTTCAGACCTTTATGCAGCCACGGAAGAAATCAATAATACAGGCTTTGGAAGGATTTTCCCAGCTCCTGTCTCGAATGATAAAATGGAAACGGAAGAGGAGGAGGATGAAATACCATCAGAATTTATTTCTAGAAGGGATCTAGAAAAAAACAGGCTTTCTAGAGAAGGTATAACTGTTGAGAATAAATTACTTGCTAAATTATCTTTGATTTGTTGCAACCAATAGTTGAAATATTTCCTTTAATGTTCATGTTTTAAATTTAATTATTTTATACTGAGCAAAAATACAGAGTAAGTAAATGAGCTAAAACATTGTCTATTTTTCTGTCTTCAAGAAATGGAAAAATATTCTGTTTTCAAAAATTACGAGCCAGGAGATCCAAATTGCAGGATATATGTGAAGAATTTAGCTAAACAAGTTCAAGAAAAGGTAGGTAAACAAGCTAATTAAATAGTTATCAAAAGGGCTTTTTATCAGATTTCCTTTAATTCCTGTGCTTTAATTTCAGGATCTCAAGTTCATTTTTGGAAGATACGTTGACTTCCAGTCAGAAGTGGAACGAAATATGTAAGCTAATTTGGTTCTTGGTTAAAATTAAGCCTTTTATGTTAACTTCCATAACACTGGTGAAAACTCTGGTTTCAAAACTAGTCATCTTTACTTTTTTCTTTATGCTTCTGCTTGAAGAAAAAAAATGTTTCATCTGAAGATTTTCTTTTATCACAAGTACAGAAATAGAACTCTTCTTCTGAGCACTGTCTTATGACCCTACTATTTTTGCCTCTTATTTTTATTCCCATATTTATTGCTTATTGGCAGAGTGACACAGAATGAAGGTGAGTGTCACAGATGTAGATCATAGCGTCTGATGATTTTGCATATGTCACATTTACTACAGTTGCACAGCAGTTTGCCATCCAGCAGTCTGATGTCTCCACTAAATGGATCCCCTGGGCAAAATGCTGTCCAGTGACGTAATTCCTGCTTGGGGGCTCTGCTGCCGTTTCTGTTACTTCTCCAGCTTGAAGCAATGAGAATTGTGTTTGCGCCATGAAATACGAAAGTGTGGTTAAACACGAGAGTTTTCCCAACTCTGAATTTTGCTTCTAGGTTTGATATACGTTTGATGAAAGAAGGCCGAATGAAGGGACAGGCTTTCGTTGGACTTCCTAATGAAAAAGCAGCTGCTAAAGCTTTAAAAGAAGCAAATGGATATGTCTTATTTGAAAAACCCATGGTGGTTGTATCCTTTTTGTTGAAGCATTTGCATTATATTGTTTGGAATCTGTCCGTCAATCTCCAGTTTTGCTGTCATAGTGTCCTACTTACTAGAAATCTGTGGAAAGAGGAAATACCTTTAAGAAAACCAGGCAGCATAGCATGGGGTACTATTGTTAATTTTATGGTAACTGAAAAATAAATAGAGGCACCCCTTCTGAAACAGGAAAGTAAATGTGCTGTGTAACAACATTGGGATTTCTATACTTTTTGATTGCAGTGCCCTGTTTTCTGTGTAGAAGTCCTTTCTTATTTTTCACTTTAAGTCTTTCATAGTTTATTTTCTCCTCATTGTCCTGTTCTTCACTCCAGCCTCTGCTCATTGTAGTTTTTTAACTCCCAAGTACATGCTGAGACTTCAGAGTTACAGAATTAACGTTCTGGGATGGAGGGTCGTAAATATCAAGCATTTATCCTGCTGTAGCTATTCTGTTTGCACCTGACCCATTCCTGGTTAGTCCTCCTTATTTACTTAGTATTGTAAACTCTTGGACAGGTGCTTTTAACATTTTTTGTACTCAGTTAGGTCCTAATCTTGGACTAATAAACACTATTATAATATTTCATACTGTAGTAGAATGGATTCGCAGATGAAGGCCACTTTTGAAACTATTTTTTGCTGGAGAAGAAAATGCTTCCTTTAGATTCTTTATTGCCTTCTCTTTATCATTGACATTTCCAGTCCTTAACAGAATCTCAGCAATTTGCTCGTTCAGCTAGACCAAAACAGGATGTCAGTGAAGGGAAAAGAAAAAAGTAGAACAATGCACAAGGTATGGATTCTCTTCCTGAAAAATAAAAATAAAGAAATGGGCTGGGTTTTCTGTTTTGTTGTATGGGGGTTTTTTTAAATTTCATTTTCTTTTTAATGGCTTATTTAGGAATAGTGACAGTGGAGGGGAAATGTTCCATACATTTACTTATTTTTTTCTTAAATATGCACTTTCATCAGAAGACCAGGATGCAAAGTGGGTAGTTAGTGGAAGTTTAAAATATTGCTTCTTTCTCTGTTTAGAAGCTCAGAGACTGCCTTTACACTAATCCTGCTATCCTAGGGAAGTTGCCAATTTCTCTAATCTTTAATCTGAGGAGCTAAGGAGAATGATTCTATAGAATTGGACGACTTACCTTTTAGTAATCAGTATTTCTCCTTCCCTTCCACTTCCCCAAGTGTAAAGTGATCCTGAAGAACTGTTTGTAGCAATAAACTCACTTTTGCTGGCTCCGTAAAGGACCTTTGGCTTTGCAAGCTTTGACAAATGAGATTTTAGTGCTGTTACCGCATGCTTGAAACTTGTCTGATTCGGGAAATGATGTTGGGGCAGGAAGTGCTGCTTAATGTTGCATTGATCAAGGCTTTTTTTTGTGGAATGTATGATTTCCTGATTTTTAGCATTATTGTCTAAGCTTGATGGAGAAGTAACTTTTAGCAGAAGGTAATCACTTCATTTTCTGTGATGTAGCTTTACTTCTCTACTCATTGCTATGCTTTATATGGGAGTAATTCAAGCAAAATCAGCTCTAATATATTAAACTGAGGGATTTCGTGGCCTAAAAACATTTGAGTAGTGAACTGTCTCGAATTAGCACGTGAAGTAACTGGCACAAGAATTCAAAGCACTTATTTAGCATTCTGCACCCTCTGATGGATCAGCTGGCTCACGTTTAAAGGATGTTTAACTTAATTACAGATTACAGTTGGACATCCCTGGTTATGCCTCCCCCTAAGACCAAATGAATTCGAAGCATAGGCTGAATGCTTCTGAAACATTCTATTTGATGTTGTAGTTTTTGATCTGGATGTTTTGATCATTGTCACTTTCGGGGAAAAAAAAAACAACCAAACAAAACCCCCTGAAGTTTGAAATAAAGGATGTGAACAGCTCTTCTTGATTTTTAAAAATCGGTTGAAGACCCTGCAGTATCGTTATTGTGAGGATAGTATTTCTATTTACAGCAGTTACTTCAATTCTAAGTTACTTGTTCTGTCAGTTGTCCAAGGATTTTACTTTTTTTTTCATCAGATTATATGTGAATTTATTTCCATTATTTCTGAGATGCTATTTGGTTTTACCAGTTCCTATTGTGAGTTACTGGCTTGTGGTTTGCAAAATCTGTATTCTGTTTTTATCAAAGATTGCTTTTTTTACAGGCATTCTTCTGTATTGGTCATTGAAAAGAGACAAATGAGCCTTGGCTTAAAGTATTCTGTTAGGAACAAGGCTTTATAGGAATGTTTCAATCTTGTTTCTTACTCCTTCCTTGTTAGGGAAAAAAACCTCATTTTATTTTTTCCAGTGTTTAATAAGAAAGTTACTGAGGTTTCTTTAAATGCAACAAAGAAGCTTGGAAGTATTGTAACTATTAGAAAACATTATAAATGAAGTCTGAATACTCTGTTCTTTTAGGAATTCCATGTTTTTCCAGCTAATTTCTCTACATTAAATCTAATCCATCCTGACTTCACTAAACATACTAAATAATATTTGGATTACCAAAAGAAAATAATGAGGTGTTTATCTGGTTATTAATCATGTCGATGGTCAACTTGGAAGCTTTTTTTTGGAAGAATAAGCAAACCACATACTTGTGCAAAACTTATTTGTGCACCTGAAAGTCTCACATGAGCGACCGTGGTGTCATTGGTTTGACGTGTCACGAGCAGAGCTTCTTCCTTACCACGAGCGTTTCTGTGTAGAGATCACAGGACACACCGTAGACAGCTTTCTAGGGATCTGTGAGATTTAAAAATATTTTGCTTCCCAACTAATGATAAAACTGAACCCTATTTTTGCATGACTCTTTTCCTACTGGAATAGCCTGACGGGTGCTGATTTTGTGATGCAAAACTCCATGATAGGAATCCGGGTCTGTACACAAGAAGAGTGCTGGAATCTCACTCGAAACTCAAATAAATGTATGAAGAAGTTCATGCAAATGTTTGAGAGACTCCAGAATTGATCTGTATCCTGTGTCTCAGTGCTGGTTTTCTGATGGTTTTTTGTTGTTTTTTTTAAGAACAAAGTTAAACTTTTGATTATTTTTAAACAGGAAGAAGCTGTGTTAAATTCATGGATGTTATTGCAAATATTTTTTCTCTACAAAGGTTTTCTCCCTTGTAGAGAAAATAATGCATCTGGTTTATAAAAATACCTTTTAACTCCTTGCTAGCTGAAAGATCTTTTCCATGATAGACTGACAAAAATTTCACTTAGTATTTGGAGTGGCTGTATTTTTTTTGTAGCTAAAATACAGCGTTCTGGGAGAAAGATTATGTAGAAGAAACTGATGTTGAGAGGCCTCCAGCTTCTTCCTAGGGAAGAAATTACTCGAAAACCTGCATTGAATGGAAACATCGTTGGGTTTTGGACCTGAAGGAAAAACCGAGTCTCTAAAATGGCAAGGATTGAAGGAGAATTAAAGAGACAGAAGAATCTGCTGGTGTCCTAGTAGTACTAGTTACCAGAAATGTATTTACTTTTGAATAAGGAGCTTAGTGTTGGTGGGCTCGTGACACTTCAGCAAATCTCATAAAGGGTCAAAACTGTATTTTTCTCAGAGGCATATTTGCTCTTGATAGATAGCATAAAGTTATGTGTGTGCAATACTGAGAACCAAGTAAAATTAAACCACATTCTGCTGTTCTTCTTTAGAAACATTCCTGCGTAAATACTGCAGTAATACTGTCATGCAGAGTGTATCCTTTCTTGTTGTATCCTTTTTTTGTGGAATGTTTCCTGTAGCACTCAACTACATCTTAGGTTTTCATAGAGAGGAGGCTTGGGGAGGAGATGACACGTTTTAGAGCTTGAACTAATCTTGTAATTTTGAAAGCAAGGGGCACTTTTTCAGGGGAAAAACAAAAAGATTTTTCTATGTTGCGTGAATAGACACAATGAAAATTCCTGGTCTTAAAAGGTGGCGTCCACCACCCTTGTCAAACACAGGTCACATAACTTCCTAATTTGTGGTCCAGTTCCACACGTTGTGTGAGCTGGAAGTGTTCCCCTGGTGTGCATGCAGCTGTAGTGAGCTCACACGTAGTAATAATAACGCGTTGGTTAAAATATGTTGCAGAGCAAGCTGTAATAATATTAAAGGGCTGACCAGTATTTTAGATTCTTTGATGATTACTGTTGTCCTGGTATATGAGAAACAATCTGTAGTCAACTTAGTTTGTACGTTCCTTACTTCTTTGAGTAGAGAAGAAAATCTTGCAATATCTTGCAAGGAAGTATTTGGAATTGAACTGTTAATACAATGTTACCTTTTTGCTGTTTTTTTTAATTTTTGTTTGTTTAGATTGTTCTCTGTGCTGAGGTAGTGTTTCAAGTGACTTGTTTTCCTTGTGGGTTTCATACTAGGTTATTGTTTAACTTGCTGTAATATAAAATTAATACAACCCGTACCCATGAAGTTGGATTTTTCTTCAGACATTCAGCACTTTTCCTAGATACTAAGCACCTTTCAATTTAGTTGTCAAAAGAAAGCATAGTGCTACTAATTTCTGGTTGTTCTTACTTTTAACATGCCTTTATGATGTTCCAGGTCCCTTTTGTGTTCCATCTCTTTCAAGTATTACCAAGCTGGGGGAAGAAGCAGTGTAATCATCAGGACTCTTGAACTGTGCGTAGTAGCGTTTCTAAAGTATTTAAGGCAGAGTATAAATCTTTTCCATCTTAAAGTTTCCAAATAACTTTAAACTGTCACAACACTTCTTTGAAAAACATGTCAGTTTGCTTGTGAAATCCCTAATAAATTATTTCCTTGCTCTTACGTTTTGCCTTGTTCTCTTCATTTTGACTTTTGTAGTGGCATTTTGGAGTGAGAAAGAGGAAGACAACACTTTTTTTAAAGGTGAACAGTGCTATTCTAATTGTACAGCATGTTCTACGTGATTCAGAGCATGTATTTGTATGTACCTCTTTGAGTGTGATGTTTGGCTGTTAGTATTTCATAGAGTCATTTGGGTTAGAAAAGCCCCTTGCGATCATCGAGTCCAACCACTAACCCTGCTCTACAAAGCTCACCCCTAACCCATCTCCCCCAACACCACATCTCAACGACCTTTAAACACCTCCAGGGATGGGGACTCCACCACCTCCCTGGGCAGCCTATGACAAGGTCTGGCTACTCTTTCTCTGAAAAAACACATTTTCTGCTGTCCATTCTGACCCTGCCCTGTTGCAATTTGAAGCTGTTCCCATTGTTCTATCACTCGTTACCTGTGAGAAGAGACCAGCCCCAACCTCTCTAAAACGTGCTGTCAGGCAGTTGCAGGGAGTGACGAGATCTCCCCTCAGCCTCCTCTTCTTCAAACTCAACAGCCCCGGCTCCTTCAGGCGCTCTTCATCGGATTTATTCTCTCAGGAAAAACATTCAGTCAGTTGAGCATGGCGCTAACAACGCCAAGGTCGCGGGTTCGATTCCCATTCAGTCCCCATGTGTTGCCTGATCTAGTCGAGAGGTGGTGTCCCTGGTGGCAGGGAGGCTGGATTAAATGATCTCTAAGGTCGCTTCCAGCCCAGGCCATTTTATGATTCGATGCTTATTATGTGATCATGACAAGCTCCCTTTGTTATTTTGTGTGGCAAAGCCACTGTAGCAACATTAAAGTAGAAAATATTAATTAATCCACTGTAACCTTCAAAGATGCAGAACGCTGTGTCTGGATGGAGCATTTCACAAAGCTTTGCGACACCTTTTATTAAAAACCTCTGTAATGAAACCATGCAACGCATCCTATGCCCAGGCCGAGTCACAGGCCCAACCCATTAAAATACTGTGTAAGAGGCCAGGCAAGTAAATTTTTTGAAGCAGGACAGTAGGATAGCAGCAAGGTGGTGCTATGCTCAAAAGTATTTTTTTTTTAAAAGCGTATACCCAGAGAGGACGAATATATTCCAGAATGGCATTGCCGGGGCGGGGCC